TAGAAATAAACATAAATAATTGTCAAAAATAAGAGAGAGAAAATAGAAGAATACATCACTATTTTATTTTTAAATAAATAAGAGTAGGTACTGCCTAATTGTTAAATATTTTTTATAGATTATTAATAGCTATTGTGCTAAATGTTTCTCACATTAATTTATATAAAACATATTATTATCTATTTCTCTTAATAAATTACGGTATAACAATTAAAATGTTTGTTGAGCAGTGCAAAAAAGCAATAATTTGCTGGCGAAAAAAGTTGTCAAAGGACAATTGAAAAATGTTTTGAGATTGGCAAGTTTGTCATATAAGATCTGGTTCTACGTGACTGCGCTACAAATTGTACTTTCTGCATTTTAAATAAAATATATATATATGCATGATTAGACGTCAGAAAGAAAAAGAGGAGGAATATGAAAAGTACTAGTATAGTTTAGATGAAAGAATTGTAAAGAACAAATTATATTGGTTCGTTTTTATTCGACTCTTTTTATCCGAGTTATATAAATTCCGAGATACCTTATAGCCTTATACGTAAACTGGAACAAAAGAACAAAGAACATCTTCAAAATATGTAAACACCCGTTATATACTGTTTAGTTCGTGTGACATTTACCTTTTTGATCTTCATAATGTTATTAGCAACAGAGAGAATAGCAACGGAATATTATCTATAAAGCGTCTTTTGCGATATTTCCAAATCAAAGTTCGCAAGTACAGTTTCGTTTTCATCTGTTCTTATTTTCGACGTGCGACGATAGCGATCGTATGCGCGTATAATATTACTTCTTTAATATTGCTGGAAATTGATTAATAATCAGAATCAAAATGTGTGAGCAAATTAAAATTATAGAGCGATGTTATAAAGCCTTAGAATATGATATGAATAAACAGGTGAGTATGAATATGATTAACATATGTAAATATGTTGAGGAATTGTGAAATATAACATTTAATACAGGGAATTTAATCTATATTGCTGGTAAAATGTATTGTATTATTCTTTACATATGTTGTTAGGAAGCACTAAATAAGATATCTGCTTTACACTACGAGTTGAAATTTAAGGATCCTGATAATTTTTCAGATAGGTATAAATGACTACTTAATCCTAAGATAAGAGTGATAACAAAATTTAACAGTCGTCTCTATTTAACAGTAAAAGTTTAACACTTGTTTTATTATTATTATTTTTTTACATTTATATACAGATTCTCGCAGACAGCGTCTATAATAGAAAGGAATTTATCTGTTTTCAAATCTGCTTGTGATCATGTGGATATAGTTACTACTATTCTTAATTACTTGTACACTGTCGGTGTGAAATTGATGATTAACGGTGAGTTTGACACGTATAATGATATCTTGTTATACAACTGTAGAGAGCAATATATTAACAGTAGGTACTTTTTTTGCGTTTCGTCATTTTCTACATTATTTATATGTAAAATTAATAACAAAAATATACATAGAATAATGTATTAGATTGTTCAATAGAAATTCTTCTTTTCACTATCTTTTTCTAGATAAATGCACTGCTGATGACCTGAATATGATATATATAATGTATATTGTATGTAAAGAATCTGAGATTCCATGCTTTTTGAAAGCGGCCCTTATGTAGTTATCTAATAAAAATATATGTATACAAATTATATCGAACTATGTTATATTATTAAATTAATTATTAAATATATTATTTAATATTTTAGCAATAATTCAAAGTGGGAAAGTGTAGATCACTATCATAGACCATTAATTTCAAGTGAGCACATTCAAAACATAATCTAAAAGCGTTTATTTAATTTCATAATAATCTTTTTAAAATTTATACAGATTGCGTCTATGAAATGATCGTGCTAGACGATTCTGACTTGCATGCAGTTATTAGTTATTTGAGGATTACACCTTCTTTGCTGTTAAAGATAAGGAAAATTTTTGTCCAAGAATCAATAAAACAGAAATTTTTATGGATCCTAAAAAAAAATTTTCAAAATTTTTATACATTCTTGGATTTGCATATTTCTACATTTCGTACAAGGAAAGAATTACATTCCTTATCTTTATATACTGTAAGTCTGGCGTCAATCAAAATGGTATCTATATGGTCAGAAGATATTACAGCTGCAAAAGAATTAGCAAGTACATTACGTGTACGTAATACAATTTAAATGATGTAATACAATTGCCAAATTGTCTGAAGCTTTGTTGAAACAATTTATGTTTTGTGAGCAGACAGATATTACATTTATAAATGCGCACTTCGAGTTTTGCCCCGATATCAAGTTTTCTTGGAAATGGTCGTCTTCTATGTTTGATTTGTATAAATATTTTGTCTGGGATGATCTTAATTATGGAGATAAGATTGATCCAAACAAACATGTAGGATCAGTTTACAATCTTTTTTATAATGGCGGATGGCAAAAGCCTGTAAAGAATGGATATTGGGTACATAATGGCAATACATATGCAAATGCAACAAAGTACGTGTACATACATCTTTCCTGCCCTACTTCTTAACTCTGCAATTATTTTTAAGAATCTTAATAAAATTCACACGTTATTAAATTAATATTAATAATAATATTTGTTATAAATTAATATTAATATTAATATTTGTTACAGGGAAGATATGTTGAGTTGCGTAAAATCAGCCGAAGAAGCATCCAAAAGTTGGAGTATCTTGCCTATTGTTTCTAGAAGGAAAATATTAGAGAATCTTGCAACTACATTAGAATGTCATGGGTATTAATTTACTAGAAAATTTTCACATATTTTTCAAGTCCTTTGTTTGCACAATTGTATGTTTGTG